TGTCTAATCGTGTCTGAGATAGGTAGTGAAATCAGTTTGAAAATGTGGGTTTGACTATTAAGTTATTCAGGCTACACAGGCAAGCTACATGCACATATGTGGACACACACACACATACACATGTGATTTAAAAATACACTGCACTCATGTTTCAAACTCACAGAGTACTCATCATAGTCCTGGTTGTTGAGAATCTCCTGCTTCTTAAGGTCTACGGGATCTAGTGGGGTAGAGAACTCAAACCCGGGCTGCTGGCCCTTTACAGGCTCATAGAGAGGCAGACCACGGAACAGCAATTCCTTCCACTCTTTCATCAGCTTCTCTGGAATCAGACTGGACACGACAGCAGAAAAAAATGACAGGAGGCAAAGCTATACTTAATAAGTGGAACTGTGGTTAAAATGAATTCTGAACCATATCTTTAAAAATGGCTTGACTTGTCTGAACTCATTAATTTACTGCATGGCATGTTAACTGGACTATACAGCACTTTTTAATGTCCTCCAAATGCAATCAAAATAGATGGAAGTTTTTGTCTGAGTCTGAAATTGATTACACTTTAATATATTTCAAGAACTAGGTAATGTAACTATAACTATAAGATAGATAGATAGATAGACAGACAGACAGAGAGGTAGATAATATTGAGGTGATGGTTCATATCATATCTGTGGAAATAATGTAGTTGACCATGAGAAGAAGCAGACAGGACATTGACATCTCCTGACTTTATTTGACCACTGGTCAGTTCAAGAATGTATGTACAAGAATGTTTCAAATATTGGTATTTTTTTTCACAGGGTTTCAACTTGCATCTGAATTAGCACTGCACCGCAATGCTTCAGTTTTTATGCAACATAACATAAAAGATTTCAGTCTTTAGGATTTCAGCTTGTTGCTGTGACTAGTATATGTACATTACTCAAATATTTGTTTTCCAGTAGAAAGAAACAAGCAGACATTGATGAAAGACAAAAGCCAGTACTTAAAGGGCATATTTGGGAACCTGTTGCTCTTGTAGCTATGAACTTCATTTTACATTTTCATTTAGTCTCTGAGTCTATTAGCATTAAAAGAAAGAAATGCCTATATTTATTCTGAAAAATAAAAAAAATACATATGTAATATTATATTTTGTGCTTGAATATGAACTTTGTTCAAGCATAAATAAATACAATTTGTAGACACAGCAGAGGACTTTTTCTATTGCTCAGTTTCATCCCTCTGTGACCAAAGTCCAAATGTCTTCACCAGCTACAGTACACGCACCTCTTTAGATTGCCTAACTAACCTTTACTCAATTTTTGCAACACATTTTGGAATGTTGACACATTTATTGACTAATCAGGGGATCAGCTGGAGGTGGAGCTATGTCTTATGCCCAAATGCCGTATGTATGTTTCTACTGCGTCACTAAAAGTAACTGTGTTACGTACTTCCCAGTGATCAGTCGATATTCTCCAACTTTGGTGGCCAAGTCCACTATCTGCTCCAAAATGTCCTTGCAGCTCTTAAAGTGCTTCTGGTATCTGCGCTGAGCTCGCTCAGCAGCAATCCTGTTAAAGGATTCAAGCTCCTTTCTGATCTCTTCAGCACAGTCCAACTTAGCCTGCTGAGCCAGAGCCTGTACCAGGCCCCAGTCAGAAACATGGAATGAGCAGAGAAGGCATATCATAAATGTTCCCACTAATCACCAGTACTGTAAGCAATTAATTAATATGAAAGCTCTATATATAGGTCTTTTCTATAATTACATTTTTCTAATCAGTAAAGTACTGATATTGAAGTTTGCACAAAAAAAGTATTAAATGTTTGTTACCATCAGTATAGCTGATAATATACAATAGGTAATCATGAATTCAGGTTCCTAGTTTGCCAATAGACACCAAAAGATACCCAAATAATCTTACAATATGTACATTTAATCATATGGTTTCCTCATCTCCTGAAGATTCTTTCACTTTCAGAGTAAAAAGACAATCTGTGACTTAATCACATGAGAATCTGCTCTGGGATTGCTTGACAAATTATTTTAATAATAACGTTGCTGCCCCATGAGCACACCATACTACATACTATAAATTTAACATTGAAATCATGCTGGACTATGGCCATCATCCCTTATCCAAGTATCTCTGCCTTCTTTTAAGATAAATCAGTAATCTAGTCATTGGTCTACAAGCACTGGAAGGACTTAACAGATAAACATATAGTTGTTTATGTCATGATTCATACAATCTTACTTTCTGTTTATCTGTACTTCTGAAGTCCCTCTCTCGCTTCATAATACCAAATATCCTGTTGATACTATGCAAACTACCAAAATCCACCCTTTCATCTCTCTCTCTCTATGACACCATTCATATTATCACTGACACAGCCTAATGCAAAACAAGAATAGTGAAGGTTATTCTTCTTCCTTATTCATCCTATCTCACCACCTCCCTCTCCAGAGCTTCCTGGAAGTCCTTCTCTCTCCTCTGCTGGTACTGCTGCTCCCTGAACAGGCGGTTCTCCCTGATGACCTCCTTTTGCATGCGTATCTGCAGGAGCTGAGCTACTAAACGCTGCTCCTGCTGAGTCTGACGTGTCAGACGCTTCACCAGCTGCTCCTCTCGTCGAGCTTCCTGCAGGGTGTGGCAGAAGTTGCTGTTCAGTTGGATAATTCTGGATCAAAATGATGAATGTCCAGTAAAATTTTAACAGACTATATGAGATCAAAGAAAGCAGGATATGCAAGATTTATTTAAAACATATTTTTCATATCGTATACAAAAGCAAATGAATGGATGACTTGACATGAATGAATTGAAAAAAAGAGGAAAAGCAGACTATATTGAATGCATTCTCATATGTCCTGAGTGGGATTTTATTTTTATCAATATGAGGAATATTAACATTTCTCAACAAGAGGAGAAATTTCACCTCTTGAGCTTCATGAGCCTTGAGCTGCTCTACCAGGAATCTGTCTCGTCTTTTCTCTCTCTGTTTGCGAGCAACAGCATTCTCATCAAGCCTCTGCCGGATTTCCTGTATATACTTGCTGTTGGACTGTAATGTCAGCTGAGTTCCACTTCCAGTGACCTCAAAGTCCTCGCTGCTGCAAACAAGGGGCAAATCTCCAGGCAAGGGCTGACCACTACAAATAAAAAGGTTCAAACCACATATGAGGTTACTGCCCTACCATATGATGATCAGTATCTCAGGTTTCTATAAAACTCCATTAATATCAACATTTCAATAACATAATAGCAATATTAATTTAGCAAATGCTTCCTTTTTTCTCACCTTAAGGAGGAAGGAAAACCAGCAGTAACAAGTTTCTTCTTGTTTGTCTCAAACTGGGCTATTTCAGTCTGGACCTTCTGAATTGACAAAATGGACAGAAACTGCAATAATGCCATTAATACAAATAAAACCTTGTCATTTCTTTGTTTTTAGTTTAGAAAGATGTAACAGATGCACTTTAGAAAATTCAATCAGTCGTTATGGCATGATAATTGCCTTAAAGGTAGTCTTGTATATATCAGTTCATCCATTGACTGTCCTAGTAAATTAGAAACAATAACAGAACTGGGATCATCTGATAAACTTCACAACACTGTGTTCTTGGGGTAGGATTTCTAAATTTGTGTGGAGGATATTTTCTTAATCTACTCAAAAGATTCTGATAACCAATGTGAGCCTTTGAAGCACTGACCCCTACAAATAATGTGAATACCACTCTGTAGCTAACCCTTTGACAGCAAGACAAAAATTTGAATTCCCTTTGTGCGTTAGTAAATTATCACATCATTATGTTATCTGGATCACACCTGTGCTTGATGGTGTCTGCGCTGCTGCTGCTGCTGTAGTCTCTTCTTTAGGTTGAGCCGTAAAGTGTGTGGAGGTGGCTTGGGTACCTGGACCATTGTGGCCCAGGTACCAGGCATGATGTCACTGTCCTTCTCATAAGACACACGCAGCTGCAATATACACAGTTCTCCTTGTTCACCACTGACAGTAACATGAGTTTTCTTCTATTTCATCATCAGAAAGCTAAGGTTCACTAAATGTGGGCTTTCACTCAATACTACAGTATTATAGTTATGTTCAACACCAAAATACTGCAAAATGTATAACTATATGACAAGGGACTGAGAAAATTAATGCAAAAAGTCATGTTGATGAAGATGTAAACTCTTGTCTGCCTAAAGTCTGGTCATCAATTTCAACCTTGTGTTAAATGAACAGGGTAAAGTATAATACTGTACTTCATTTTCCACAATTTCCAGTACCTTTTCAAAATGCTTCATTCTCTTTTCATCCTGGACTCTGAGTTGTCTCTTATGCTGGATGGGATGGGTCATGGCTGACCTGTTGTACTGTACCTGGAATTTCTTCTCATAGTACTGAGAAATTTTCTGCAGCTTCACCTCTGTGTCACGTTTCACCACCCGATGCAGTTGCTATATAAAAGGAAAGACCATTAGATGCCTAACAATGCATATTTTAGTTGAAAGTGATGCTATATTAAACTAATAATGTGAATGTCAAGCATAAAGACTGACAGACAAAAATATGTCCAGTTACCATACTTGACTATGCAGTTTTTCAGTCTTGGTACAGAGCAAGACAACTTATCTCAATACATTTCTACAGATCAAAGCATGCTACAGTATTGTTCGAAGAAACGAGGCCATAATCACATGCACATACAACACATTTATGCAGCTGCTCTTACATCAGAGAAGATGTCATGCACTTTTTTGTTAAGGCCTGCACTTGCTACAGGCTGCATGATTTCCAGCATTGTCCCGGTGAGTTCAGCTTTCTTCTTTTTTTCAAGTGAAATGTAGAGTTGGTAAAGGAGGCGTGTGGCAACACCCTGCTTCTCCTGCATCACTTCCTGGGCTGTGTTTATGTCAAAGTTGATCCCCAGTAACCGAAGAGTAGGCTCAATGCGGGTAAAATTGTTTAGCCTTGAGATGGAGGTACTATAAGAAAAGGTGTGTAATAATAATAATTATGTAATAATTATGACCATTCTAAATGAGCAGGAGAATTATTTAACAGTCGGCTATTTTTCATAGTAACAAATATACAAGAGCATAGACAAATAGCTAGAGAAAGAGAGAAAAGAAGGCAACTTACTCTTTCTTCATGAACATACTGAAATCCTTCTGTAACTGATATTTATGCAGCACCTCCCCAATCAGGTAACCACTGGAGAAGTCCTTGGCAAAGGTCTTTGGCTCTGTAAAGATAAAGCTGCAATTTGAAATTTGACATTCTATACATTTGATAATTTTATCAAATTTAAATTGTTTTAACAAATTGTCTTTTTTATAACTTGTTGGGGAACCATTAAGAAGTCTACCAAACATATTTAAAATAACCAGTTGGAGTACTGTCTGAAACATTTCAGATTCCTAACAACAATCCAACATTAGCAGTTAGGTAAGTGGCTAGGTTTTTCAGGTTTTTAAAAGAATAACGTTAACGTTACTCCTGGTCCATTTTTAAAGTTGAAAATAACATTCCTCATAGCACCTCCTACTCTATTAAAAAATATAACAGTTATAAATTGTTATTCATCTTCGGTATGCAGTTTATGAAGTACTTCTTACATTCTTAACGGTAATTAAACCACCGAGTGTTTGCATGAGTAAGCTAGCAGGAGGTTAGAATGCAACGTCAGTCGCACTTACCAACAACTTTTGACAACCGGACCTCCTGGTTCAGCCACCTGCACAAAATATCTGACATCTTCTTTCTTTGAAAATAAACTCAGACGACCATCAGCTAATTTACATATTACTGCGTAGCGTTAGTTAAGTGTAGATATGACGCCTTAGCTTGCTAAGACCGAAAAAACAGACAGCAGAGCAAATCTCAGGGTTGAGCCGTTTCCATGGTGACATGTCAACAGGGATATACCCAGCATGCTTCAGAACGGCCCTTATGGGAGCGCGCGGGTCCAGCTCACCCTGGATCAGTTTTTATTTTTCTATTCAAATGAAAAACATGTATGACGTAATGGCAGCAAACTGATCCAGAACCTGTGCAATTACAGACTTAAAGAAGCTCAGCCGGGACGGTGTTATTTTTAGCAACACGATTGCGGCCATCTTCGTTAATTAGGAATGGAAGGAAACGAATAATAATAACAATTTATTGGACTGAAAAAGTGACTTGTCAAGCATACTGAATATGACAACTGGCAACAGAAATTTCTGTGGAAATGGCAAGTAACGTTAGGCTATTGCCTTTAAACAAGTAGCAACCCATTGTTATTAGTGTTAACTTTATTTAATATACTCAAAAGCACTTTATTGACTCTTCATTCAATCAATAGCAAAATATTCTGTAAAATGTCATGAATTTTAAAGCGCTTTCAAAGATAAAGGCAGTTTTCAGGCTCACAACACGGGTAAAATTGTCATGCACATTAGTCAGTGTTAAGTTTTTTAAAGTCATAGGGTAACAACAGGATTACATGAATTTACAGCCACTATTTTGTATGTTTATACAACATGCATCAGTATAACAAAACATCTCTGGCCAAACACAAAGATGTGCAAGGCAGCAGGTATACCCTGCTCTATAAACCATAAAGTGTTCTACATAGTAAACATGGGCTCCAGTTATTACAAATATGGATAAGACAATGGAAAAAAGTAAAAGAGTTGAATGGAAATTTGCATCTCAGCACTTTACACATTATGCGTCTGCATGGTGGGTATTCTGTCCCTGCTTACAATGTGTCCAGCAAAGCGACACTACTGTGATAAGATAGGAATGCAAAGCAGACTAAACTATTTTAACAAGACAGAATCACAATTTTAACACAATTTACACGATTTTCCAAACACACTTTACATTTCTCCATGTGTTTAACCATACAACAAATATACAGTTAAAGTGTAATGCCTTTACATTTCATATATATCTAGTGTCGTCAACAAAAACATTAGCCGTTTTCTCTCAAGAAAGCTGGTTAATCAACATTAAGTCTGTATGTTGTAGGCTAATGTAGGTAATATAATTTACAATGTAAGGCAAAATTTTGCATTGTAACGAGATTCTGTATTATAAGAAGGAAACAAATGAAAAAAGCAGTAATGTACAGGTAGTTGCATAAAAGCAAAGACTGCCACTTTGTTGATCCAAATCAACGTAAAAGCTTGTAACACATAGCGTTCATAGGTTAGTCTCCAAAGCCCTGCTTGTCTAAGAAAGCAGGCTTCAAAGGAAAATCTGCAGCCATGTTTAAATACTCAACTTACATCCACCCTTTCTACTGCCTTACAATGATAACTGATCTCACACAACAACAATGGCTGGCTTGCTCTTTACTCAATGCACAATGTGTAGCTTTTGACAAATTTTCTCTATTTTCCCATTTATCAAGTTAAAAATCAGATCAGTGTTACAAGATAAAGCAAAAGAGGGGATAGATATTTCTCAGTAGTTAAAGAGGACTGCCTGCCTGTTAGAAGTTCATCAGTGAAGCCATCCCTTATAGTTAGTAATCATTCATGTCACAGTAGTTTTACTTAAAGCTTTTCAGCTGGAGGCACTATGAAACAACAGACCACAGGCTGCCACAGGGGCAAGCCAAGGTCAGACTGAAAAATACAATAAAATAAACATCCTGTTCAGAACTGGATTAGTGTCAAAGGATAATATTTGCATAATGACACTTTTGAGAATCCCAGCTAATGGTGCCTCCTTAACACCCACACTGTACATGAGTGGAGAGCTAATGGAGGATGCGAAGTGTACTTAAATTAGTGGCCTGTGTTTGATACCATTAAGGAGATACTAAAGTGCTGTCAAATGAACAATAGTCACAAGGTCATTTCCCCATATTTTTGTCAGGAAAAATCCAAACTACAGCATTTCTGAAAATTCTCTGGTATTTCCCAATATATGCGTTCCCCTTGGATCTCAAAATTTATATGGCGGCTTCGGGAAAGGTTTTAAATGAAAAGATGAATAGCAAGTTTTCAAGCACAGCAAATCTGAATCAAATGCCTTATCAGCCGTCTCTCTGGGCTTGCACATAGAGCAACCAAAGAAAAGGATTCGTCATATCCACACAAATACTGAGAAGAACATCATGATGACAATATCATAACCAAAGTGAATACATTTCACTTACTAACACTGACTATAAATGAACATACACTCAGTGCCAGTGGAATCTGTGTGTCCACCACAATTCTGATCAGTTCTGGACTGCAGTATTGGAAGATGTTCTTTTCTCATTAGACTTAACAACTAACATTAGAAGCAAGGCAGTTGTGTGAAAGATTATATGGTGCAAATGACTGGAAGCATAACATTTATCAAGGCAATTTAAAAACTGGAATTACCCGTTGTAGCTCATTCTCAGAATTTGCATAATTCCACCAAACGAAAAAGGACACTGACCTCACTGTGAAACACATTTCTTAACAAGAACAAAAACTCTGCTGGTTAAAGACAACAACAATAACAACAAAACACTCAAATGTAACATAATCGTGTATTAATTGAATTACATCACTTTGTATTCATGTTCTAGCTTATATCAGTGTATTTCCACAGGGCTCATCTCCCATACAATTCTGAACCATAAGAGAAAGCACCACTCCTGTATTTATGTAAAATAACAGTTCTCATTCATACATGCATCTTTCAATTAACATCTCACTGTTCAGACAGTAATTTCTGAAAAATAGATCATGTCCGTAAGGATGGGAATGACCTTGATACTAGAGTGCCATCTTTCTTTTCTTTCTTCCAATCAGTAGATCACCAGCTGTCATAAATCATGCAAGATAATGACAAACCAACATGAATACTGTAACAACAACTTAGCTACCTTCTATTCAAAGTTTTTTTAGCGTTCCATCAGAAATGCCCTTTATGTAGGGATGCACCCACACCACTTTTTTCAGACCAAGTACAAGCACTTACTTACATTTGAGTACTTGCCAATACCATGTATTCAATTGCCATAAAAGTGTGATGACTTTAGAGACAGTTTAATTTCATGAGATTTACTTACTGAAAGTGATTAAATAAAATATCTTATGTAACACGATGCTATGCAAATCACCTGAAAACATTCCATAGTAACAGGCACAGTACTGCCACCATTCCTTCTGAAAAACATATAACTGACTGTATTTCTGTAGCCTGCTACACAGCATACATACAGGCATGCAGTGGATTTTAACCTTTTTAGGAGTGCCACCATGTGTTAGGATGTAATGACTTCACAACCCCCTGACCAGAACGTCACAGTTTAGGAGCACATATTATCAGCAGCAGTTTAAACGTAGAAGGGTACATGTTTTAATGTTACACTAGCTACTGTCTGTGGCTTCGTAACAGTTCACTACAATAGCATAACAAGCACTGTGGTGGTCTTAGCGGAAAGAACTGGGCCAGACACTTTGACCACAGGGAGAGTAAAAACGTCGCATTTCTGCAAGTTTGTTGTTATGTTCTGCTTCCTCAGTAGGTGTGTGATTAATTACTCTCTCCATTACTGTTGGTTTTGTTGCACAGTGTTGACTCTGTGTAAAATGTGACCTCGTGTCGGTACGTCTGTGTGAGACAGGGAGGGAGGGACACTTACACACACACACACACACACACAAACTCGCAGTCAGCTTTACTTTTGTTGTCACGTATCTTAAAATATCCCCAAACCGCTGAAATTGCTTCTCTGCCGCCTAACGACTGGCTCAGCCAGTTTGAGGTTAATGTAATGCTGCCATTAATTGGTAGTGGTGCGACAACTTTTACGAGTACAAGTAGAGTACTAGAGATCAGACCCAATACTGGTATCGGCATCGGTGCATCCCTAATTTTATGCCATCATCACTTTCTTGCTTTCAGTTTTGTTTTGTAGTGCTGTAAAGTTCACATCGCAAAAAATAAAAACATTTGAAATACAAGCTTAAAACCAGGTATACTAAACGGAAATATGCCAATGCTAAATGCCCATTATAGGGAGTAACAGTAAAGGCAGTGAAGGGACACCACATTGCCAGGGGGTGCAATAAATACTGTGAAAAAGGGGTCTTAAGAAATACTTCGAAGAGGTCTTTTTCTGCATGAAAGAGAAAACTGACTCTATCCATCCATCCATTATCTATACCACTTATCGGAATAGAGTTGCAAGGGGGCTGGAGACAATCCCAGCTGACACTGGGTGAGAGTCAGGGTCCACCCTGGACAGGTCACCAGTCTATCACAGGGCTGACATGTAGACAAACAATCACACACACACTCACACTCACTCCTACGGGCAATTTAGAGACACCAATCAACCTAAGTTGCATGTCTTTGGACTGTGGGAGGAAGCCGGAATTCCCGGAGAGAACCCACATAGGCACAGGGAGAACATGCAAATTGCACACTGAAAGGTCCCAGGTCGGCCCGGGCTCAAAACTGTAACCTTGCTGTGAGGCGACAGCGCTAACCACTGCACCACAAAGCTGAAATTGACTCTATATGTATTTCAATATGTTTGGAATAAACAGCTGTGCAACAATGCATGTAAGAATGTAGTGCTACAGAAGAGGGGGTATTTACCAACACCATATGACACCTAGACTTGTTTATGTATGACTGATAACAGCAAAGACTCTTATTAAAGTTTTATGTTAGCCCCCTGGCCTGGCTGCTTCTAGTGAAAGAGAGAGGTGATATCATGGTTTTGTGGATGAAAGCAAGTTGGTAAACCAGGTTGCTGCTGCTGATGATAGCTGTCGTTTCTCCTCTGCTTGCTCCTCTCCATCAGGGAGGAGAAACTGAGTAGAAGCAACAGAGATGGGGGATCCAAGAGATGGTGCCTGGCCACCACTTTCCCCTGCCTCCACAGGGGAGTCCAAATGCCAGGAGTTCTGAGGTTTGTAGCCTCCAGCAGTGGCAGCCTGAGGCTCGAGGAAAGGCTCAGGTGAAGCTAGGCCCATGTCATCACTTGGGACTCTAGGCTGCATTTGGGGCCTGTAACCCCCTCCTCCTGCTCCAGAGCTGACAGACAAAAGAGTCTGCGGTTGTTGGCCCTCACAAGAGCTCTGTGGATCCAACTGGAAGACCAAAGAAGACCCTGAGGTCTGGATCCCTGTGTACGTCACATCAGTGCGTGCTGAATCCAAGGAGGATGTAGAAGAAGCAGAGGAATCTGGAAAACGTGGTCTTATGGGCCTCTCATCTACCACTTGGTTGTAGTAGCGTAATGATGTCGGCTCATCTGTGTCAGCTGGCTCATCTCCCATGCCCTGGCCTTCTTCATCCTCGTCTTCTTCGGGAATGACAACGAGCACTTCTTTACTAGAATCCCACTCAGGCTTCTCTACAATATGGACCATACTGTGGGGAGATGGCTTCACATCCAGCAGCCCCTGTTAGACGCATAAAGCAATTAAATACTTTACTGGGTTATTTTAAATATTCTTTTTCCCCTGGGATAATCAAAAAATAGAAAATGGACAATTGAAAGTTCTATATGCAGAATCAGCACACAATGAGTTTAATTGTGAGGGTGAGATTGGATTAGACTGATACTGTACCTGTGTCCTGGACCAATCACCAGGCAGCTTGGGCTCCGGTATGTCTGGATAGAATGCTGTTTTCACCCTGGTGACAAAGCAAAATGTCACTTGGGACACATTTTATTATCAAAAGCCTATGGAAGCTCAGAACATTTGCTCCCAATAGCTCATATTCAATACGGTTTAGAGAATAAGCTGCTGGTTGAAATGGGAGTTTGCCAGTGTGGTACTTACAGTATCTTTACAAACACTGGCATATTATTAATGGTACGCACACAAACAACAGAGACAGGAAAGGAGGGTAGCATTCTCACCATTCCCTTTTCTTGTAGCCAATGAAAGTGACAATGGCCAAGAATACGGTTGTGACTCCCAAAGAAGCCAAGATTTCCAGGATCAGCCAATCAGCTGTCAGGAGAGGACAATAGAAACATTATACATATCAACACTTGAAACAATGAAAGGGAAGGGGTCAGGTAAATTTAAAAATTCATGCTATACGTACAACCAAAAAAAGATTTTGTATTTCCATAAGTGGGGTAAAACTATGGAATAATTTAAGTGTAGACATAAAAAATAGTAATAAAATTGACGAGTTTAAACATAAATATAAAGGTATGTGTCAATCAAGATATATGCAAGAACAGGTTTAATGATTAATCAGATGGAACATTGTGGGTGTGGTGTATGAATGTTAACACTTTGTAATAATTCTTTAGTATATTACTTGTGTGGTGTAGAAGATAATTATCTATGTAGAGATACTGCTTGCAAACCAATGATGGTAAGATGATGTCATGGGGTAGGACTGGATAAGTCTGACTTCTTCCTACTCCATTCAAGCATGTACTAGGTATAAGCACATTGATATTGGATTAGCATTTGTTGGATATGTGTAAAATTATGTGTGTTGACATATCAACTGTTTTTACATGCTTGAAAGAAAGAATAAATCAAATCAAATCAAATCAACACTTACCCCTCATTTCCACTGGGCACGGCTGTGCGGTAACAATAATTCTTATAAAATTAAAGCAAAATGTTGCTATTACTAGTTGTAGCTATACACATAACTATACAGTAACATACTGTATGGCTCCAGCGTTATGGAGGCAGTGGCGCCTGTGTCTTCGCCTGCTGAGGTGTAGGCCTTAACAGTAAATTTATAAGAGCCCTCAGACAGACCCTTTACTGTGTAGCTCCTGCTTCCTGACAGATTAGCTGTTCAAAGGACAGGGCAAAATAAAAAACAGAGAGAGTGGCACAGGAAGCAAAGAAAGAAGGAGAAAAGGTCAAAAGCAGAAGAAGAAAATGAGTGAGTTTAACAGGATACAAAATGCATTTTTTACAGTATATATGACCAGTGCAATAATAACAAAAATAATGCATGCTTGGAATATGATAAATTTTTCTAGCATTGTGCTTAAATACAGTGGGTCCAGAAAATATTCAGACCCCCTTAAATTTTTCACTCTTTGTTATATTGCAGCCATATGCTAAAATCATTTAAGTTCATTTTTTTCCTCATTAATGTACACACAGCACCCCATATTGACAGAAAAACACATTGACATTTTTGCAGATTTATTAAAAAAGAAAAACTGAAATATCACATGGTCATAAGTATTCAGACCCTTTGCTGTGACACTCATATATTTAACTTAGGTGCTGTCCATTTCTTCTGATCATCCCTGAGATGGTTCTACACCTTCATTTGAGTCCAGCTGTGTTTGATTATACTGATTGGACGTGATTAGGAAAGCCACACACCTGTCTATATAAGACCCTACAGCTCACACTGCATGTCAGAGCAAATGAGAATCATGAGGTCAAAGGAACTGCCTGAAGAGCTCACAGACAGAATTGTGGCAAGGCACAGATCTGGCCAAGGTTACAAAAAAAATTTCTGCTGCACTTAAGGTTCCAAAGAGCACAGTGGCCTCCATAATCCTTAAATGGAAGACGTTTGGGACGACCAGAACCCTTCCTAGAGCTGGCCGTCCGGCCAAACTGAGCTATCGGGGGAGAAGAGCCTTGGTGAGAGAGGTACAGAAGAACCCAAAGATGACTGTAGCTGAGCTCCAGAGATGCAGTCGGGAGATGGGAGAAAGTTGTAAAAAGTCAACCATCACTGCAGCCCTCC